ATTGGACTTTTCCAATCAACGTACATAAATAAGGTGCTAAAACGATTTAGCATGAAAGAATCTAAACGTGGATATATTCCAATGAGTCATGGGGTTTCACTTTCTAAGGCAATGTTTCCAAAGATGCCTGAAGAAAGAAAACGGATGAATCATATACCTTATGCATCAGCTATTGGTAGCATTATGTATGCCATGTTATGTACAAGACCTGATGTGGCTCATGCACTTAATGTAACGAGCAAATATCAGTCTAATCCAGGTGAAGAACACTGAAAAACCGTTAAAATGATCCTTAAGTACTTGAGAAGAACTAAGGATATTTTTATGATATACGACAATGGGGAATTAAAACTAGAATGATTTACTGATTCTAGTTTTCAATCTGATAAAGACGACTCTAAATCAATGTCCGGATACGTTTTCACCTTAAATGGAGCAGCAGTTAGTTGGAAAAGTTCCAAACAAGAAACAACTGTTGACTCTACAACTGAGGCTAAATATATTGCTGCATTAGATGCTGCAAAAGAAGCTGTTTGGATACGGAACTTCATCCAAGCGTTGGGTGTAGTACCGTTTGTTGTTGATCCAATAAAAATTTATTGTGATAACAATGGGGCTATTGCGCAAGCAAAAGAGCCAAGATCTCATCAAAGATCCAAAAATATATTGAGACGATACCATTTGATTAGAGAAATCATTGGTAGAGGCGACATCGTTATGGATCGAGTTGACTCAGCAGAAAATATAGCAGATCCCTTAACTAAGCCTTTATCACAGAAAGTGTTCGAAGGACATCTTGAGAAGATGGGTCTAAGATACATGAGTGATTCGAACTAGGGCAAGTGGGAGATTGTTAGAGTAGAATACCCATCGTTCCAATCAGATTGGACATATTCTACTTATAAATACGATCTATTAGAATTATATTAATAAATAGGCATTACTTTATCTTATGAATTAGCATTTATCCTATATTTGCACTTAAGATAAAGTCCCTAGGTCATATATAGCTATAAGGTATGGTTGCGCATAGAGATGGTGATCATGGAACATATCTTGAAAGCTATGATCTTAAATTCAGTTCCAAGTCATAGGATATTTCGAGATGGGATATCGAATAATCCGGAAAGACTTGTACATATGTTGTATGCTTGTTGGACAAGAATGTTGCATTCCATCAACAGTAGCGTGAGACGTAAATACATATATGTAGGTGCTTGTTAGAGAACAAGTTCACTGAACATGACCGTATGAAAATTCTTAATGAAAGATTTTCTGTCGAATAAGAATTTTCATGTTACAATAGTACATTATTGATCCTATGACTTGAGGCATGATGGTAACTTTGTGCATATTATATTATAGTTTGATTTATCTTTTTGATTGCTAGAACACTCGTATAAAGGGATATTTTGGGTATTATATCAATATGTATAGAAGTTTGTCAGTGGCCAACAAAAGATTCGACGCTTATAAGATAAGTGAATTTTCTATGTGTTTCATAGTTTGTAATTCAAAGTCTTTGGCCAAGGCGAGATGAATAGAGATTCATAAATGAATTACTAAACTTGAAATAGAATCATAGTTATTAAATCAATTGGGTTTCGACTTATAAATTCATACCCAAGATTTAATCGAGAAATTGGATGTCGAAAGGATTTTACATGTATGTAATTGTAATTGAAAAGGTTTACTCGCTATTCACTTAATACTAGGTAATCATGCTACTTGCTAGGTATTCCCATGATTTGTGGGTTCTTGAAATTAAAGGGTTATTTCAAGAATAAGAATTAATATGATTAATTCAAATTACAAGTAAGTTGTAAACCCACTGCTAGTATTAATAGTAAACCTAAAAGGTCACACCAATATTTGAATGAAAACAAGTTAAAGTGATATTTCTAAAGAGTTAGAATTAATTGATAATGATTAATTAAATAATATGATTATTTGATTAATTATCTAATTATGAATTAGATGTCAATTAAAGAAATATTATAAATTAATCAATTGGATTGATTAATTGAATTTTGGATATCAATTAAGTAATTAATGTAATTACTAAATTAATAGTTAGATTTTAAAATATGATTTTAAAATTCAAATCCAAAATAATAATATGATTATTATAAAGAGGATAATATTATAATTGGGAGAAAAAGATTATTTTAATAAAATCTTGAAAAATATTTTGAAAAATTATTATTTTATTATTTTATCTTTAATTTGATTAAGATTAAAATAATGAAAAGACAAAATAATTGTGGTAGATGATGGTTATGAACCACTTCACATAATTAATTAAAAGTCAATATTTGGTGAGGTTATTTAATAAACTCTGATTTTATTTAAAATAAATAATTACCAAATGTTGATTATTTTATGCTAAAAAGTTTAGTATAAATAGGTGCAAAATGTTTGCACATATTAGCTAAGTCTTGAAATTTTTCAAGAGTTGAAAAAGAGAGAAAAAGAAGAATTATTTCTCAAGATAAAAATTTAAGAAAGAGTTCTTAAATAATAAAAGAAAAATAAAAATTCTCCCAATTAAAATCCTCTAATTAATATTCCTATATCAAAACCGATACTTTTCTACTAGCGAAGAAAGAGGTTATCGGTGTTGGATTTCAAAAGGTGGACTCGATTAGAGGGAAGACATTTGGATTCCTAAAGCGAGACGAGTTCAAACCGAAAATTGATTTCCACAAACAACGACGAGGAGGAGATAAAAAGGTAATTTTTGAAATTATCTCACAAATCAAAATTAGTAAATGTTACTAGATTTTAAATGATGCTTATACGTTATATCGTTATACTTATGTACGGAATAAGTATTTATGGGATAAATACTAATAATTTTTTTTTTTAAATTCCGCTGCTCATTTTTTCCGTACAGTATATCGAACCCAACAAGAATGTGTTCTAGTTGAATGTTCGCTCGTAGCATCTTCTTGCGGACCAAGTTCAAGTACGACACCAATCGAGATTCCTTTGTCTCGAACTCCCCCGAGATTTGTTTTACCAACAACATCGAGTCTGAATATACTTTCAAGCTTGTGATGTTCATCGAGTGGGCTAAGTCTAACCCGGATAATAACGCCTCATACTCGGAATCATTATTGGTGGCGGCGAACAGGTACCGGACCGAATGGCAATATAGCTTTCTCTGGGGGCTGACGATCACGACCCCTCATCTCGGATCCGTAGGATGTGGCTGACCCGTCTACATAAATTTCCCATGTCTCCGTGGTTTGGACCGGCTCGACCCATGTTGTGAATTCGGCTACAAAGTCGGATAACTCTTGGTCTTTAATCGTTGTCCAGGGTTTATACTGCACGTCGAACTGTCCGAGCTCGACAGCCCACTTGATCATTCGTCCTGAGGTGTCCGATCCATGAAGGATTTGCCGAATTGGATAAGTAAACTAGACTGTCACTTGATGCTCGTGGAAATATGGCCTGAGTTTCCTCGAAGCTGTCACCAAAGCGGAGACCAACTTCTCGATTGGTGAATATCGGACTTCGGCCTCGTGCAAGGCCTTGCTGACGTAATAAATCGGATGTTGGCTTGAATCCTCCTCTCGAAAGAGTACAACACTTATTGCGGTGGAAATTACACCTAGATATAAATATGACATCTTCCATGGGTTTGGTTTTTGCAGAACGGGCGGGCGAACTAGTGATTCCTTGATATAATACAAGGCGTTTTGGCACTCGTTCGTCCACTCAATATTCTTGCTCTTTTTGATTGCCTCAAAGAAGGGCTTACATTTATCCGTGGATTTTGATACGAAACGATTCAAAGCACCTAATCTACCCGTTAGGCTTTGTGTTTCTCTTATTGATCTAGGAGGTTTAAGTTCTAGTATTGCCTTAATCTTGTCGGGGTTTGCTTCGATTCCCTTTGATTAACAATATAACCTAGAAACTTACCCGACCCTACTCCGAATGTACACTTTTTAGGATTTAACACCATGGAGTAATCGCGCAAGATAGAAACCATTTCATTAAGGTGAGATACATGATCGTTCGCACAAACAGACTTAACAAGCATATCATCAACATAAACTTCCATGGTTCGACCGATCAGATTGGCAAACATCTTGTTCACGAGCCTCTGGTAGGTGGCACCTGCGTACTTCAGGCCGAATGGCATCATGGTGTAGCAATAAAGCCCCCTGGCCGAGTGGAAAGATGTGTGCTCTTCTTCATCCGGACCCATCTAGATTTGATGATATCCCCAGTAGGCATCCATAAAGCTCATCAGCTCGTGTCTGGACGTGGCATCACCCATGTAGTTGATACTGGGCAACAGATAGCTATTTTAGGGGCAGGCCCTATTGATATCACTGAAGTCGATGCACAACCGCCACGTCCCACTGCCCTTTTTCACCAACACTGGAATGGACACCCAGAACGGATACTTTGCTTCTCGGACAAAGCGGTTGTCGATCAGCTTAATCACCTCCACTTCAAGCGCTCCTTGTCGGTCTGGCCCCATTTTCCTTCTCTTTTGCACGATTGGTTTGATCGCTCGGTCGATCCAAAGGTTGTGACATGCCAGGTTCAGATCGATCCCCATCATATCTTCATGCGTCCAGGCGAATACATCTGTATTTTCAATCAGAAAAACAATTAATTTGGACCGGATGGACTCGTACAGGTTCTGTCCGATGCGCAGTGCTTTGGTGCAGAGGGGCTCGTCCAGATAAATCACTTCTGTTTCCTCACTGGGCTCGGCAAGTTTAGAATTTTTCCCCTTGAATTGGTCTCTCGTGTCCAGCTCATCCTTCTCATCGATTGGCTCTTTCTCGAGCCAGTGGCCTCGATCAACTGTCTGGTCTTTCTCCTCCTGATCGTTCTCTGAGTATTTCGCGACTTCTCTAGCCTTTTCGTCTCTGGATCTCTTCCTCTTGTTCGTCCTTTCCAAATTGCCTTCAATCAGGTTGGGCAGGGGCTGGTGGATTTCTTTTATAACTTTCTTGGCAAACTCTTTCTCTTCACCGACCGGGTTTCCTCTTGGCTATCCGGATGGGGTCTGTTCTTCCTGCTCGGTTGGCTTCTTCGGCTCTGTGTTTGGCTCAGTTGTCAACTTTCCTTCTTCGTTTTCCACTATGACCGAGTGAATCTCGAGAGATGGGATTGCCATAATACATTCTCGTGCTTCTCTCTGGTTGCCATAGTGGACCCCTGTCCCGTTCTCGGTTGGGAATTTGATCGAGTAGTGGAAAAGTGATACGGCTACCTTCAATTTGTACAATGTTGTTTGTCCCAGAATGGTGTTGTATTCACTGGTCGTCTTTACTACTTTGAACATTTCCATGATCCTTCGTCTGTTTGCTCCTGGTCCTCCGAGTTCGATTGGTAGCGTGACCTCCCCTTCTGGTATGGTCGCCTGCCCGTTGAATCCTGTAATGTGATCGTTGTACAGGCGTAGTTCACTTATGTCTATCCCCATTTTGAGAAACTTTGTCAAGTACAAGATGCGCGAATAAGCGCCGGTGTCCACCATAATTCGGTGGACGGAGATACGAAAGATTGGGGCTGTAATCAGCAGTGCGTGGGAGTGTGGATTGTCGAACGGGAACGATTTCTCGTCCAAAAACATTATCAGGTTTGTGGGCATAGGCATGTGCTGTCGGACTTCCGCTCGGCTTACTTGGTGTCCTGTGTTGTACGCCCGACGAACATACGCCTTAGCATGCCTTCTCGATACGTTGGAACTTTCACGGCTCGTATTGACTCTTGTTGGTGGTGTGTTCCGTCTAATTGGGATGTGGACCGAATGCTCCTCATCTCGGGTGGACACGGTTCGTTTTCTTCGACTTCCACCAGATGCGCTCGTCTCGCCTCGCTGCTCTTGACTGATCGTTAGGATTTCCTTGGGATGTTCGTTCACTCTTCGTGGATTTGGCCCAAAGTCTGGTTCGTCCTCGAGATCCATCCGCTCGTCATATCTGGGCCTCATGTTGCCCCCTGTCGTCTTGGTGAATCTCCTTACCTGCGGATCATCTATTAGTTTCAAAAGAGCGGATATTAAATTTCTGCATTGGTCGGTATAGTGGCCGTGGGATTTGTGGTAAGCGCAATATCGACTCTTGTCCAAATTCTCCTCGTCGGCCCTTATCGGTTTTGGGTCCAGAATGATCCCTTTGTTTTTCAACTCCTCGTACACTACGGCCGCCCCAACCGAATAAACTCCTTGATAGATATTCATTAACTCTTCATGATGCTTCCTTTGCATGGCTCAGAACTGGGCAGTCCTTCCATCCTTCATGTACTCCTTATTCGGTTAGGACTTCTTGGTTTTCGCTGGCGGTTCACCCGTGGCTCTGAATGATGGAACAAACATGTTTTCCTCCGCCATGATGTGCTGCTGGGCTTTGATCAAGAATTCATGGTACGTTTGAGGTTTGTTCTGGCAGAGGGTCCATTTGAACATGGAATTCGGTCTTAATCCTGAATATGTTGAAACGAGTAGGATTTCCTGATGGCACGGCTCTATGTTTTGCACCCGTTCGTTGAAACGAGTAATATAGTCCTTCAGGATTTCGTACGCTCCATGCACAATGTTGGTGATTTATTCTTTGGGAATTCTGCACGCCTGGGATCTGATGAAATTGGTTCGGAACATTGATTTCAACTATGGCCAGTTGTGGACCGAATGTGGGGTGAGTGAATGGTACCACAGTTGTGCCATTTCCCCTAAAGTAAGGGAAAACATTCTGCAACATATGGCGTCCGGTGCTCCATGCAAGTCCATCCAAGACGTATACAGTCTCAGGTGCGTGTTCGAGTCGGACGCTCCATCGTAGAATCCGATTTGTGGGATCTTGATCTTCTCGGGTAACTATTCCTGCAAAACATCAAACGTTAAAGGTGATTCAGATTCGGTTGGGGTGACTTCAGTTCGTCCCCTGGATGTTGTTGTGGTCCGTTTGAGCGGGACATCTGTTCGATCTGGGAAGGTTGAAGTGACCCATTTTTGGATTGCGCGGCGGGTCTGGAGTTCGGACAACCTTCTTCGGAGTTTTCTCATTTCGTCCTCTTCGGCTTGGGTTGTTCGTTTTCTGAGCAGCTTTTTTCTCAAGTCGTCGTCGGCCACGCTTTTCCCCAGTCGTTTGAAGACCGACCGAGTGGTGTTGCGTGTACGGGTGTCTGTGACCAAGCGACTCTCATCCGTCTGTTCATTTTCTGTTCGGATGGTAGATTTTTCCTTTGTGCTTTCGGTGGTGTTCTCACGCGATCGGGAGGTTTCTTCTTGAGTTACCGGCCCCTTGCCTTTGAGAGTGTTGCTTTGGTCCTTCTTGGCCGGAGTTTTGGGTGCCTGAGGTGTTGAAGGCCAGATTTGCGTAATGAGGTTCAATATTCCTTTGACAAAGTTCGGGTCTTTGAAAAAAGGTTGAGTAGTCTGTCGTGGTTTGTTGGTTGCGCCGGTCTTCCCCCTTCTCCGGCTGATCACGGCGGTGGCTTTGACTTGACGACGATGTTGTTGTCTTTGACATGCTGGAGTAGCCCTTCCTCTAGCGCCAATTGTTGGTGTCTAAAATATGACCAACAATGTGTTCGAACTGCACACTAAATTATGTACTTGGTTCAGTCTGCACGACACAGGGAACTGTGTGGTGTTCGGTTCTAGAACGGACCGAATGGGAACTCTGTTCGTGTCTTATGTAGTAGTTAATGAGAGCATTTACTCATAGCTTTTAATGTTGTCATCCCCCTCCTTTTATAGGAAGTTTAGGGACTTGATACATTTGGATTTTTTCCATTTTTCTTATTTTTTACAAGATATTTGGGATATTAGTCACTCCACATTTAATGCCAATGTACTACACAATCTAATCTCAATATTAAGGGCTCATCTAGATCGCTACACACGTCCTCTCTTGTGGTGCTCCCTTGGATAGCGATTTCCAGATTTCCCCGCATTAAATGCACATAGTACGGATAATATTTGTGGTAATGATGAGATTTGATTCACCGCTTCAATTTGCTTACGCTCGTTCCGCGTCCGGTTCGGTTTTCCCTCGTATGGTTCGTTCGTATTCCTTGTTGAGATCTGTGTTCGCATGCGCATGACGGTGATGACCAGCATTCGGTCCATATTCCAAACACACAATCTTAGGTATTTTAAAATTATAAACTATTTGACTAACTTAATTATAAATATATTTAAAAGTCAATAATTTGTCTTATTGTCAATTTCTCACATATAATATTTCAATTAATTATCTATTGACGAGTTTCGATTTCATATCCATAATGTATATAAAAAATAAATAATTATTTTTATTATTATTATTTATCATAAATTTAAATAATCTACTCATACTAGTTAAAATTAATATCAGTTAAAAAATTTATCTATAAATTCATTACATATGAATTAGAAAAAAATATTATATATAAGACAGACAAATCGTACAAGTGAAATCTCGATTTATATAAACATAAATATAATTTTTTTAAAAATATTTTTACAGTAAACTTTTTTCTCTCTCTCCCTTTTTAAAAATTTATGTATAAAGATTTTAAATAACACATATAATCAAGAATGTAACGCTAATATTCAATTAAATTTCTACCTGATAGAAATGATTTAATTATTTTGAATTGAATGTATACTTTATTAGATTACTAATAGAATCCAGGTTTACTATTGAGCCATGTGATATTTTACGGCACATTAGTTTCATCTCATTATAAATATTTCATTATTTATTGTTGGGCATGTAATATTTGATGGCCCATTAATTTGACCTAATTATAAATACCTCACTATTTCTTTGTAGTCTTTATCAAATTATCTATCTAGGTTATGTTTGGTAAAACTAACTGATAAGCTATCTGATAGCTATTAATCTAGCTTATAACTTATTAATAATTTTTTAGCTTTATAGCTTATGACTTATAGTTGAAAAGCTAGCTTATATGATAAAAATGTTTAGTAAAATTAGCTGATAAGCTAACTGAAATAAAAATTTCAACGAGCTTGCTTATTTGAAAAGCTACCAAAAGAAGCTTATCAAATAAGCTAGAACTTTTTAAATAAGTCCGTCCTATCAAACGAAACTATAATTTAAATACAAGAAACTTATAAATTAATCAAATAAGCTATAAACTACTTATTGATCTACCAAACATACCTACACATCTTACTCTCCAACTTTCTGGATCTAACAATGGATGCGGGTACATCCGATACTACCGAACGGATCGTGCATTGGATCTCTTGATTCAATCGTTGGTAAGTTTCTTTTATCACTGCTGCTATTAAAAATATATATAAAAAAAAAATGATTAATAAAAAAATGCAAAATGACGGACGTGTCCTCGCCGGTGCTGCCGCTTCTCCTCGCCGGCTGCTTCCGCTCTTCCTTTCCTGTCGTTGCTCGTCCTCGCCGGTTGCTGACGCTCGTTCTCGCCGGTTGCTAACGTTCGTCCTCGCCGGTTGCTGACGCTCGTTCTCGCCGGTTGCTGACGTTCGTCCTTGCCGGTTGCTGACGTCGTCCTCGTCGGTTGCTACCGGTCGCTTTTCGCCCGCGCTGTCTGTTCGCGCCTGGAGGCGAGTCCATATCGCTGAGACCGGAATACGAGCTTCGAGCTCATGTCCGCTTTGGTGGTTTAACCCACCTTAAGATGTCTCCGGTCGGATGCACGGGTCTTGGAAGGCTCTACTGGCCGGAAGTCAGGTAACGGGCGGGACTGACCCACAGTTGGGGATTTAGGGTGCAATTTCTGAAAATTCAACAAGTTCTGAGGACTTGTTTGTTATTTCAGATTTTTCATTTGCAATTGAGTTCAGGACCAATTTGTGAATTTAAGAAAATTGCACTCTGGTCCTTGGATCTGTTTTTGAATTTTCGAAAACAGTAAGGCCTGTTTGGCTAGTTTAAAAACTCAGAATTTTTGAAACCTTAAATACTTGGTATTGTTTGTTTCATTTCAATTGTTTTGAAAATATCCCAAAATTGAAGATAGCCTTTAGAGCATATTTTAAATTAAAAAATATAGTCCAATGACATACTTAAATATTTTAGAAATATTTAGTGGACAAAATAAAGCTTCGAGCTTAGTTAACGATTCAAAATTTTAAAAATTTTGACAATTAATTTACCATATTATTTTGATTCGTGAATTTGTTTAGCCTATGTATTTTGAGTACATTTTGTCATTGTTATGTGTGTTTTAAACCATTTAATGCATGAATAATATATCCTCCCTATATATAATTCCAGAATGCGCTGAGCCTACGTGACTGCTTTTGGTGCTTCGGAATCCTATTTGGCGAAGAATCATGCTTCGTAATTAGGTTTGAATAAATAATATTGATATATTAATAATTAATAATTTAGGTTCGGGTATTCCATAAATATTATTTAGCTAATTTAGGTATTTTAATATCACTTTTACTAATATAACCCTTTAATTCTTTGTGATTTTACATACTGAGGCACTAAGTGACTGATATATCCCCGAATTTTGATTTGTTTCCTTCAATAAGCTATTGAATTATAAATGTATTTTAAAAGTTGATAACTTTTGTATTTATTATCGGTTTTACATATATAATATATCAAATTAATCATCTTTTGATGATTTTCGATTTGACATCCATATTGTATATATATGAAATAAATAAATTATATTTATCTTTATAATAATAAAAAATAATAATATTTATTGAAATTCATTAGAAAAATAAAATTATTTTTCAATTGATATATTTATATGTAATGTAGTTATATATTGTAAGTTAAAAAAATTAGTATAATATAACACAAATAAGTTGCACAAATAAAAAGTGTCATAATAAATATATAATAATATATATATTCTTATAAAAGGTATTTAAATTTTCAAACTACTTTTTTTCATTAATTTTAAATTTTAAGAAAAAATTAACAAGCATCCGTGTAATACACGTGTGTTGTACTAGTATATATATATGTAATTTCTGACAAG